GGCGAGGCGAGGCGAGGCGAGGCGAGGCGAGGCGAGGCGAGGGGAGGAGAGGAGAGGAGAGGAGAGGAGAGGAGAGGAGAGGAGAGGAGAGGAGAGGAGAGGAGAGGAGAGGAGGCTAGAGAAGGGTAGGGAAGGGTGGAGAAGACTAGACGAGACTAAGTGACTAAAGTGGAGCTCCACTTGCTTCACGGTCACAGAAAAGCATTCCTGTGCACAGTAAAGATCATAAATTTGCAAATTTGGATGACGAGATATGACAAAGGCGCGCTGTAAAACGTTGTAGAAATAGGTATATTTGGCAGGAGAATGGTTTTACCAATTTACAGTTGCCCCATGATGCTTCACAAGGCAAAAACTGACCAAAGTTGCCATTTTATCATTTTACCAATCTTACTGCAGCCTCGAGAACTGTATGGCCTTAAGCAAAACACACGCTTAAAGACACCTTAGCCCTCTCAACAAAATCCCCATCTCTCAGAAACACGTCAAACTTAGAAACTGCCTTCACTAAAGATGTCTTCATATTTCTTCTAAATCTACAGGTTGCTATTCTCCAACCGGCACAGATTTAGCATGGATTCAAACCTGCCTGTGCCTATGCTACTGGTGGAAGTCCACTGAATTACACGCCGCGGAGAGCTGTGTTGTCACGCCGCTGTTGCATCTCTCGGTTGACAATCAGCTGACCGGTGCGAGTCATCAAGTCAGGTTTTTTGTGGTTCGTGGGATCCTAAGGTATCTACAAAAATATTGCAGAAATCACCCTCATTACCAGTCTCGCAGTCAGGAGAACTTCTGAAATCACCCACCAAGCCTTAAACTCTTGGTCCAGGTTTTCACCTGGCAAGCACAGGCAAGACAGCTGTACAGCAGCTGTTCCTTTCGCTTCGGGTCACCAACTCTGAAGCAACCCTACCAAACACGCCCTTTTTGCCCTTCCAAACAGCCCATTTTTCCACCATACTTTTTCCCAACAGCCCATCACTTGCAGCATAGCTTGCCAAAAAGAACAAGTCGAGTTGACACCTCCGACCATCCGACAGTGTTCCCTTCGACCTACACGAGGTCCGACCATCTTGAAAAACCGCAAAAAAGACCGGCGTGCCACCGCCTGCGGCCATCCTCCTTCGCTGAGCCGAGTGTAGAAGAGGCTACTGAAGCTGTGCACCCGATCTGGCGAGCGGTCGCGGGGACGGTGCCGTGGCGGAGCTGCCAGGCCGAGCTTGGACAGAAGTAGGATGACTGAGCAGCCAATGGTTAAAGAGCATGCAAAGTGAATGGATAAGTCAATTTGGGAGGATCGGCGAAACTCTTTGTGTGGGCAACCTGAATCTATGAGCTTCCCCTAATAGCTAGCTTCATGAGTGTCATGATCTTCCAAACATGCTATGGAATGTTTCAGGGGATCCTAATGAAGGTGTGTCCAGATCTCAGGCTCTAAGTTGAGGTATAACGGCATAACGGCTTCAATTGAACTTTGCTTGGTTTATAGATCTATTCGATTCAGTGTCATTCTGAATCCCATACGCGTCCCTGGTCGGTGCTCACAGGGTGACAGGAGCACATCACATCAATCACGCGTGGCCCGCCACGCGTGGACGTGTGGCCCGGAAAACGCTCCGCCATGCTCCGCCTGCACAGCTTGAGAGCACCACCATCCGATCCAGGTGGAAGTCCTCTTTTCTGTGTGGCGATCCGCTCTGCAGCGACCCGATGTAGACGAGAAGGAACGAGAAGTTCGTGTTTAGGGTGAACGAAGGGTACTGAACTGGGATCAAATAGCTCTAGTAAAATCTCATCACACCAATAATTCCTTGCCCCCTGCCATCTCCTCCCATCTTCCATCTCACCCCCGCTGCAGTCCAGCAAAGAATCGTTCAGAAGGCCTTCCTCATTCTTCAGCCGCGCCCAATCTTCATTGCTCGGAACCGGTGCCAAGCGTCTCCTCAACGGTGCCCAGGTGTCCGGCAGAGGTCCGGGGGCAGTGGAGGTGAGGAACGTGAGGAACATGAGGAATGTGAAACATGTGTGAAAGACCGCCTCCATGAACCTGGCGAACGCACCACTAACCATTACACTAGCACCAGGCCTTACGCAAGAAAAATGACCTCCTTCGTGCACTCCTTCCAGCAGCCTTTGCAGCAGAGCCTCCACTGCGTTCCACCTCAGCACCATCACTCATTGAAGGATATCAAATGATTTCATGGATTCACTTGATTCTGGGCTTTACTCTGGGGAAGAGATTCCTGTTCGAAGGAAAGGAGTGGTGGCTCCTTTTCCCAACGACGAACCACCTAAAAATAACCCAAGTTTTAAGAGAAGCGATGAGGGAGTCCTGGATTCTGGGTGTTCAGATGATTAGATCCTGAACAAATCATCTGTTCAATTCTGCGATGTTCTGCCAATTCTGTGGAGATCAAATCGAATCGTATAACTGGAAAAGTACCTTATAGTAGGAACCTCCTCACTACTTCTGGTTCAAAGTCCAATGACTACTTGACGGTCTTGTGTCAACCCCGCTTTCCATGTCCATCTGCATCCGCGTCACAAACAGGCGGCGGGCTTGCGTTTGGCCCAACCTGCTAGACTTCAGTCTGCAAATCCAGCTACCACTGGATATGTTTGCAAATCCTTCACGGGAAAAACGCTCTTTTGGTCTTCCAATTGGGTCATCCGTCCCCAAACGACTTCCCTCCAATGACCAGAGAGTTGGGAGTTGGTCCCTGTGCCGAAGAAACAACCGCTGGTGAACATAGGTTCCCCCAACGTCAAAAAAGGTGAACCGTGGTAAGAAACAAAACCATGGCTTTCTGCACTGCGTGGAAGAGATGCCATCCCTCTCCCGCAAACGGAACCCACCAATCCATGCGGAAGCCATCAATCGATCTTCCTTCCCACAGGCAGGTCCCCACCGCCACCAGGTCCCCGCCCCCAAACCGCGCACCGCTTCGGTTGGAGAAGTCCCCCCACCTCTGCAAGGACTGCTTTCGTAACGCTTGAAGCCTCAGGGTGGCGTGCACGTCAGCCAACCCCATTTGGATGGCATGCGACTCCATGCGTCTTGGGCTGGGGTATAGAGGAGAGAGTTTTCTAGTTTCATTCTAGAATGCCGTTGATCTTCGAAGATGTTGCATTCTTGTTATAGAAGCACAAGAAAGTAGTCTGCTTCTGAAGGAGCGCAGAAGGACACGCACAACATGGAACTGCTCACCCAACACGCGAAAGACTTCATCAAAAGTATCCACAAACTGGAAGCAAGCGCATTGATCTTCAATCGAGATCCAGCCCACACACTGTCACTGTCACTTGGGGGTTCCATAGTCGCTGGAAGAGTGAAGGATGATGGTTGATCAAACCTTTCCCAGCTTTATCAGAAATAGCCATCATCATTCTTTTCGACCGGTGCCAGTGATTGGGGTTCCCCCCCCCCCGTTCGTGACGGTCCCAAGGGCCCGCAGTTCGTTCGGAAGCACGGTTCGGAGAGACGTCAAGTCTTGGACAGTCCAGACTGTTCATCTGAGCTTTGAAAAGGATCATCTGAGACCGTGGAATTGAAGTTTCTTCAGTTTTGGGAGCAAAAGCTGCAGCAGAAACAGTCTCCTCAGCTGAGGGAAGCTCTTCTTCAAACGATTCATGGCTGGCCTGGCGTTGAGAAGCACTCGTGGATGAATCCTTCAATCATATCAAAAAAGTGTGCAAACTAAACCAATCATTTTGACTGGTCAATCTCAGCATGAGAACGTACCTCTGATCTCACAAACGCCAAAGAAATGCCAGCAAATCCACTCCCATTCCGGTTCGATTCTTCCTTTCTGTCATGTCTCTTCTGCTCGTTCTCCACGTTCCACAAACCACAAATCTAGCCTAGCCAGCATTTCACCACCCACAGTGGCACCTCTGCTTCCCAGCATCAGGCATGGCCTCAAGTGAGAAAAATAAGGACCACCCTTCACAGAAATCTTCCAAAACAATCAATGGCCAAACACTGCACATGTGGGGAGTTGAACTCCATCTCAAGTGCTGGATTTCTACCTTCAGTCCTTCCCACTCCAAAAGTTGGCTTCGGAGTGGAGTCCCTGTGAGGTGCCTGCTCCAGCTGCATCTTTGGGTGCCAGGGCATTCGTTGTATCAATGAGGTATCCTCATGATCCTCATCATGTTGGGTTGATCCTGATCCTTCTCACACTCAACAACAGGCTTTCCAAAGCAATCAAAGCCCTTACCACAGGTTTTTGGGTAACCTGACCAAACCACCCATCAGCCACTCCAAAATCAACCGACCTTAGGATCTTTAGGCCACCCAGGACCCGAACACCAAGGCCCAGGCAACTGGGAACAGCGTCGAAGCAGAAATCTTCCCACCCACGGATGGCATCTGATCTCAGCAGCTCCAATGCCATTCATCACGCAACCATGATCACTTCAGGGAGTGTATCTCAGCTCTCGGAAAAGGCCCAAAAAAATTGGCCACCGCTCTGTTGAAAGCTCCCTCCTACCCCATGAACTGCGTGCTCGCAGTTCTTTCCTCTGCTCGCTACTTCACGAGTTGAAGGCAGGAAAAGACCGTGAGACGAGTTCTGTCCGCTTAGGCTGAAGCACTTTGGCCAATGCCGTTTCAGCGGTGTTTGTCGAGGTTCGGCGACGGACCCGATCCAACCAATCCGTCGGTACGGAGTTTTCGGTGCGAATAAAATCACGAGTTTTCTGTTGCAAAGACCTCTAAGGTGGGCTTAAGTTCCACAACAGCTTTTTGGGTGACACAAGCGACTTGCTCTACCAGGCCACAAGCATGTTGTTCGAAGAAGTCTATTGATGAGGTGAGGTTGGCTTTCGGGGTCCACTTGTGATTATATATTTGGTCAGGCTAGAGTAGCCTCCTCATGCGGGCGAGAAAGGCCCGTCTGTCGAAGACCTTGCACCTCCTCTTCGAGAGACTGAATGTAACCATTCTGCCTGCTGATGAAATCTCTGTGCTCTTCGATGCTGGTTCGATATTTCTGGATTTCAGACGCCAGTGTCATTTTCAGGTGGTGAACTTCATTTTTCAGTTCAGTGTTTGCTTGCTCTAGTCGTCCTTCTCCAGCTCGTGCCTCTTGTAACTGCTTCTGTGCTTCCTGATTCTTCTGCTCACTCTCTAGCCTCTCTCTTTTTGCTTGATCAGCATGATGCTGCAGGACCGCCATGTCAGCCACCATCGTGTCAAGAGATGCCTTTTGCAAAGCCCAAGCATGCACACCCTGGAGTTGTTCAAACGTCTCCTGCAGCTCCTTATCATACGCTTGTGGCAAATCTGCAGCATCGGACGAACTCCTTTGCGCCGCCAACTCCTTGGCCTTCCGGTTGGCTTCATCAAACTTCTTTTGAATCACCTCTTGGGCCACCTCACGGATTTTGTCCAAGGGATGGTCACAAAGCTTCTGCAGTCCAGCATTCAAGGCTTTGTTGGCCACACTTCCGAGCATCAACAAATCCTTGTCTTGCCAAATCGCAGTTTCAATGTGAAGTGAATAAAGCTCTGCCATCACCTTCAAGAGTGGTTGGCTGCCCTCACTGTTCCAATAGAGTTGGAACTGATTCTGACTCTTCTTCTGACCTTCAAGTTTTGGCATCCCATCATCTGGCAGATTGTTCCACATCTCCAATAGCAGGCTCATATTGCCTTGAACCTGCTTGCACTTTGATCAGGGCTGGCTCTCTATGGCCCTCTCCCTCACGAACAAACCCATCCAGATGGTGTTCTCTCTCTCTCTCTGCAAACTACAGAACTACGCGCACTACTTCCTCCCCACCATATCCACCGACCCACGCAAGGCCCTGCCTCATTGCAAGGGTCACACAGGTTGTAGTTGCATTGCTTGCAACCTTGGCAAAAGGGAAATTCAAACCTTTCGGTGGATGTGGAATCTACCTCGGACACAAAAAGTGGATGCAAGAGAATGATACTTTTCAGTGCTTCGAACCGACCATGCGACTTCCACACTTGGACCAAGCTCAGGCCACTACAATGTCGATCCACACTGCCTTCATGCTTTTGCCCACATCCATCACAGGTCCAATTTGGAAGGTCTTGTGCACCGCCCAACGCAACCATCACATGCCCTTTGCTGCAAACCTTTGCTTTGACGCAACGGATGTAGCACTTCTCGCAGTAGTCAAACCCACACTGCTTGCAGCAAAAGCAGTTCATGCCCTTGGTGGTATCGAAGTCACCCCACTTGATGCCGCTCAAACACCCCCCAATCTCATTGACTCCATCACAGCACCATTCCCTCTTCTGCTGATGAGAGCCCAGGGGCACCAGCTCATGGCCTTTTTTGGGACAGCGGCCAGCCTTCACCTCACTGGTTTCGCTCTGGCACACTCGAGGCGACGACGCGTTTCAACAACTGGTTCCTTCAATCCAATCCAGCACTGAAAGATCAACCACGTTTGGATATGTTCATACAGAACTCTCTACTCTTGTTTCACCCAAGACCTGTGGTTGTTTGAGACAACCCCTCATGTGTCCACGTCCCCACCTTGGGTGTCAAGGCATAGATCCCATCCTTTTTCGTCTGAGCCTCGCAGGCTTGGGCATAAGTCCTAAGGTTGTTATATTGCATATAATTATGATCATCCGCAAGATTCCAGGATAGGAGAGTCATAGGGTCGCTTCACTTTCCTAAGATGTATTGCATTGCTTTTCGAAGCTTTCTGCTTTTGGGAGGGCAATGCCCACAATAGCAGATAGAGCAGCAAAAAAACAAGCATGTGATGAAAAGATCCAGCAACATTACTAAGACTCTTTATCCAGCCTACAACTTATAGAGTGCAGCATTCATTATACCAACCATGCATGCTCACCGGGCCCTTTTTAGGTAACTGAACTCACCAAATTCACTGAACCCCACGCCTCAAGTAGTTCGCGAACTCGGCAAAGGAGCTGTTCAAAGTCCCGAGTCTCATCTGCTCTTCCTCGCACTCTCCAAAATTCTCGGCCCAGGTTCAGCATGAGCGACAGCTGAAGCTTTCCCAGCAGCCCCTGGTGAGCAGAAACGGACCAAAATCTGAAAACGAGGGAAACCCGGTCTTGGCTTGACGAGGCTTAGGAGAGTCCCGGTCCAGTTCGGCTCACGCAGTTCGGCTCACGCAGAGTTCTGGAGCTGGGAGACGGCTCCACAGAAAGGAATTCCCCAAACTAATCGAAAAACCGTCCGTGCGCTGGCGTGGGACATGGTTCTTCCATGGTCAAAAACGTCAATGGAGACATGGAAGGATGGAGACCGATTCTCAGAGGTGATCGGCAAAAGACCCATCATTGACTTTACTGGATGAAATGAAAGTTCTACCTGGGACCGAAGCTGAAGCTGCGCGAAGGGGCCCATCCATCTTGCACAGGGAGGCCCCAAAAAAGGACATCCAGAAACCTCCACGGTTCCATTCCAAACGACCTTGGGCGATATCTCAACAAACCCCGCGGACGACTCCTCCTTGGGCAAGTCCCGGAGCACCGAAATCAGCTTCCCCAGCTGATCGGGATGAAGGGCTTCCTGTTTCCAACGCGCATTGAGTTCACGGAGCAGCCACACTTTGGTGTCATCGCCTCCAGCATGTGCGAGAGGGTGCAGAACACAGCATGAATTAAAGGTGTATGGGATGAAAGGTTCCAAATGTGCGTGTGTATGTGTGTGTGTTTGTGTCACAAACGGTCACCTCTGAGGTGTTCCTTTTTGGATGCGTGTCCAATGAGGCAATTCTCACCGAGGCGAGATCCACTTTGAGAGCCAAGATGAGAGTCTACTCTTGATGAAAAAAGAACATATGAAGAGGTTTGACAATCCAAATCCGGGGGGTTGCATAAATCAAGAGTCTACATGAATGTTGTGTACATCATGGTTAGAGAATTCAGGAACTCACGCTGGGTTGACTCCCAAAGGTCCCTGTCACGAAGAGCTATCTCTGGGCAAGAATGTTGCAGCTGTTCCACACCCGACACCTGCCTTTTGGTACAGGAACAGACCACCGACAAGTTGGGTCACCATGGCCATACTGATCCTACTGAAGTGCCACTGTTTCCACCTATCCCCCTGCCAGTTTTGCATGGCAGCAACTGCCCTCCAATGCCGCTAAAGCCACTGATGCATGCCTGGAGATTGGTATATTTCCGGCGCAAATCCGTCAATTGTATCCGACGTGTCTCGGTCACAGGGTCTCCATCGGACGTGTCTCGGGCACCCACATTGCATCTCATAGCTTTATCAGCGGCATCCTGAGTGAAAACGACAGAGATGGGAAGGCCACTCGGCTCTTTAAGGTCAACGGCTGCCTTGAAGGGGGCGAAAAACAACTGAAGGTTCGATTGATAGAGGTGAGTTGATCTAGACTCCAAGCAAAATCTCCAGAACACTGTATCAACAGCAGTGCGAAGGAAATTTTCAAGGAACAAACATTTTTTCCAATCACACACGGCTCCTTGAGCTTCAATTGCCCATGGAACTGGTCCTTGTGCAAATCCTCCAGCAAGGCTTTTGGGGCTGCATTGAAATCCCGATCCCTCAGGCGACTCCACTCCTCCAAAATATCATCGTTGAGCAAAGCATGATGAGCATACTGCACACGGAGAAGGCATAAAAGAAGCCCGCAAAGCGCTGTTGTCACCAGGAACATGATGCAAAGTAAACGATTGCTGGCAAGTACCTCGCGCACATGTTGATGATCTTCGGGCAAGAAGAACCTCAGTTCTGTTTCTCTTCCACAGCCCCTGCACACACAAAAAGCCTACTGTAAGTCCCACAAAAGGGACCCCTGCAACCTACAAGGATACAGGGGAAAAGGTGGACCAGTGCAGCAATGAGCGAAATTCTCAGCTTGCCCATTTTGCCTACACCGTTCACGTCGCGTCGTCGCGTACGCCAAGTAACACAGCAAAAACCATCAGAAGAAGTTCCACCAGGCGAAACAGGTAGTACCATTCGACCTTGACACTGAAGGGGTTGCCTCTCTCCAACAAGGGATTCATGCAGCAAAGAACGCTGAGGAATGCTTTCGTCTCATTACCTTCGCGATAACAATGGATCCACAGAAGCTGAATGAAAAAGTCGAACAAAACCTGGCATCAGTTGCAACAGGATTGGGCAGGTCCAAGATTTGTCACAAACAAGATGAGGTTGATCAAGAAACAAACTGTTGATCAACCTCAGCCTCATCAACATCAAAGGTTTGAGCAACTCTGTTTCGCTATCTCGCTGAGAAAGGAATAAGATAGGATTGAGCAAGATCAGGTTTCCCTCATCTCTGAAACATTTTTCTTATCTGTGCATCTATGAAATCCGGGCCCTTATGCAGGCTTTAGAACGTTTGCCTTGACTAGGAAATTCCCAGGAGTTTCCATCCCTGGACTTTCCGTCAATC